ACTTGATTTCTTCCTGTTCAGATCACCTCCCCCTCCTCGTGCGATGTACGCCTGAATCCGGCGGCAGGGTGAGGTGTGTACGGCGTTATGAAGTAATGTGGGAACGTGATGCGGCTCTTGAGGAGGTTGTGGCAGATGCTTGGCGGGAGGGAGGTACAAAGCATGGCCTACATGATATCAAAGTATCCTTGGATAAGTTGATGGGTAAACTTCATGGCTGGAGCCGCAAGAAATTTGGGAACGTAGTAAAGGAAATTGAAAAATCCAGAACCCGGTTAGAGGATCTAATGAACATGAATGCAGACCGAAAGGAAATCAGGAAAGAGTCAGAACACCTAGACGAATTATTGTACAGAGAGGAGATGTTGTGGCGCCAACGGTCTCGTATTGATTGGCTCAGAGAGGGTGACCGTAACACGCAGTTTTTCCATCAGCGAGCTGTTTGGCGAGCGAGGAAGAACAAGATTAAAGGGCTAGTGGACAGTACAGGTGTGAAGCAAACAGAACAGAAAGTGATGGAAGGTATGGCTTTGGACTTTTTCCAAAATCTGTTTACTGCTGATACTTCCTTGAATGCAGACCGGGTGGTGACCTTGTTTGATCGGGTAATTACGGCTGAAATGAATGCCAAATTGTGCTCTCCATTCTCTGATAAGGAGATCAGTGATGCGATGTTTCAGATCGGGCCACTAAAGGCACCGGGACCGGATGGTTTTCCGGCTAGATTTTTCCAAAAGCATTGGGCTATTGTCAAAGAGGATATCATTTCAGCAGTACAATTGTTTTTTGACTCAGGTCATATGCCAGACGGAGTTAATTTAACAACCATCGTTCTGATTCCCAAGATTGATGAGCCGGTCAAATTGTCAGATTTCCGTCCAATAAGCCTCTGCAATGTTATATATAAGGTGATTGCTAAGTGTTTAGTCAACAGATTAAGGCCCCTTTTGGGAGAGATTATTTCACCGGAGCAGAGTGCTTTTGTCCCCGGGAGGCTTATTACAGATAATGCATTTATGGCTTTTGAGTGTACTCATTTTATTAGACATGAGAAGAATCCAGAGAGAAGTTTTTGTGCATATAAGTTAGACTTGTCCAAGGCGTACGACAGGGTGGATTGGATATTCCTGGAGCGAGTGATGCAACAGTTGGGCTTTGATCATCGATGGGTGAGATGGATAATGGCATGTGTCACCTCGGTGAGATACACAGTAAAAATTAATGGAGCCCGCTCAGATTCATTTGCACCGTCGCGAGGTCTACGGCAGGGAGATCCTCTTTCACCATTTCTATTTTTGTTTGTTGCAGACGGTCTAGCAGCTTTGCTTAAGAAGGAGGTGGGAGATACACATATTTCACCTTTGAGAGTTTGTCCCAGAGCACCCGGTATTTCACACCTTTTATTCGCGGATGATACACTTTTGTTCTTTCGTGCAACAGAAGGGGAGGCACTTCGAATCAAGGGAGTACTGGATGTATATGCTAGTGCCACAGGACAACTAATTAACCCGCAGAAGTGCTCCATATTATTCGGTGAAAAGTGCAGACAAGGTGATAAGGAAGATGTCATACGGGTGCTGGAGGTGCAGAATATTAGTTTTGAAGAGAAATACCTCGGACTTCCTACTCCTAATGGGCGTATGAGCAAGGGCCGGTTTCAGAACATTCAAGAAAAACTCACAAAGAGGTTTGTTGCGTGGTGTGACTCGATGGCACAGAGTGGGAGAGAAGTGCTAATCAAATCAATTGCTCAAGCACTCCCAACTTATTTAATGAGTGTGTTTAAGCTACCAGCATCAACTTGTGATGACCTAACTCGCATGGTGAGGAACTTCTGGTGGGGAGCTGAAAAAGGTCGACGCAAAACCCATTGGCGTGCATGGGAAAAGCTGATCCGCCCAAAGTCACATGGGGGTATGGGGTTTCGGGAATTTCGCTTATTCAACCAAGCACTGTTGGCACGCCAAGCTTGGCGAATTCTGACTCATCCGGACAGCTTGTGCTCACGGGTAATGAAGGCGAAGTATTTCCCGAATGGTAATCTGGAGGACACCGTTTTCCCATCTAATTCTTCACCAACTTGGCAAGGCATTGCTCATGGGCTTGAACTCTTGAAGCGGGGCATCATTTGGAGGGTTGGAAATGGCCAATCAATACGCATATGGAGAGACCGCTGGATCCCGAATGGAGGTTCTGGTAAACCTATCACCGTGCAGGGCCGGTGTCGTCTACGGAGAGTGTCCGAGCTGCTGGATGAACGAGGAGCATGGCGTATGGACCTTCTCCAAGAGTATTTTGCCCCTGTGGACATTGAGCAGATTGTTAAGATTCGAACTTGCACACGTCTAGGAGAGGATGTCCTCGCTTGGGAACCGGAGCGTAATGGTATCTTCACGGTGCGGAGCGCATACCGGCTGGCGCTCGATGAACGACTCCGTCCATCTTGAGTCGCAGCGAGCAGGGCACCGGACGGGCGACGAGCCGTCTGGGCTTTTTTATGGAGGTGCCCTGCTCCTCCAAAGGTGCGTGTGTTTGCTTGGAGGGTAGCGACAAACTGTCTTCCCACTTGGACAAATAAACATTCTCGTACTCTTGAACTGTCTAATCTTTGCCCTGTGTGTGCCACCGAACCGGAGGACACTTTCCATGCTTTATGTAGATGCCCCCAAGCGGTCGCCCTATGGCAGTCAATGGCGCAGCAGTGGAACATCCCAGACGTCCGGCGGCTAGTGAACACAGGACCGGAGTGGCTCCTCCATGTGCTCGCTGACCTGCCGGAGGAGGAGCGCATGTACACGCTTATGACGATTTGGCGCTGCTGGCACGGAAGGAATGAGATCGTCCACGACAAACGGCCACCACCAGTGGAGGCCTCGTCAAGGGTTCTGACTAGCTATATCAGCTCCTTGCTGGCCCTTCAGGCAGACCCTCTTGGTGATCATGTGAAAGGGAAGATGGTGGCTGGCCACCAGGACAGGAGGAAACCAATATCGTATGCGTACCAGGCAAAGGAGCAGGCTCCAAGATGGGAGGCACCGCCAGCTGGATGGGCAGCGCTTAACGTTGACGGCTCCTTCTGTGGCAAGGACGGGAGTGCTGGGGCGGGTATGGTTCTTCGAGACGAGCATGGAGCTATAATCTTCTCTTCTAGCCGAGAATTACGGCAATGTGCGTCCCCGCTGGAATCTGAACTTGCAGCATGTAGGGAGGGTATTTCCCTAGCCTCCCAATGGTCTGCACTACCAATTGTTGTTCAAACGGACTGCCTGGATGTGGCCAAGCTGGTGAAGGAAGGTGGAGTGAACAGGTCGGAGCACCTGATGATGGTTCGTGAGATCACTAGGCTTCTACAGGAACGTGGGGAATATCTAGTCAAGCATGTAAGGAGAGAACAGAATGTTGTTAGCCATTATTTAGCGAACTATGGTAGAATAAATAAGCGCACTGCGGTGTGGCTTCGATCCGGTCCGGACGAGGTGCCGGACCTATGTAATGCAGATCTGGCTGCTGCTTGATGAATGAAACCCCTTTTCCTCGCAAAAAAA